CAGGTCACCCGTGCCGTGTCCCCTCCCCCAGCTCTGCCTCCCTAGCCCTTCCTGGGTGTCCACACTTCCTGACAGGGTCCCTCACCATCCACATCGCCCCAGCTGCACCGGAGACCTCAGCACTGAGGAGTCCATACTTCTGGCTTGGCTACCACCTCTCTGAGCTCTAAGCTCACAGTGCCCGCACTGCCCTCGCCCCGCTCCCCACTCATCATTATCACCCATCCACCCTATCTCTTAGAGCGTGGTGCTTGGGCATCCCTCACGCTCCTCCCAGAACAGGTGTCACCCAACTACATCGACCATCTCAGTGGTGACTTCTGATCCCCACGCCCACACCAAGTCACACGTCATGTCGACCCTGCCTTCTGAGAGTCCAAATGCACCCCTCATTCCATCTCCATGCCACCACCAAGGCCCTGCCACCCTCAGCTCTCAGCTGGACAAGACAGCCTTCTGCCCCGAGCACCCGTACATACATAACATTTAAATCAAACCATCTCCCGTTTGTCCCAAGAATACTCGCCAGTGGCGCTTGCAGTTGCAGCACTGACCCCAAGATAACTCACAGATTACAGTCCTAACCTCATCCCAAAGTTTGCCATGAAATATCTTGCTCTTGTCATTATTTTCGCATCACTCTAGCATATCAATAGTTGTTGGAAACAACTGACATCCTTTCATTTACAGCATTGTGTTTTTAGCAGTGGTATTTCCATTTAGTAACTTAGAAATATAGTAATTCTTGATTGCTGAAAATGTCAAATCCTAGAAAACATAGCATTCCTGTGATGTTAAATTAACACTGGCAGCGAGTTGCACTTTTTTTCTAAACAGGAAAGCGGCTAAAAACACTTATCTGATCTGGCCACTCTCCTGCTTAAAACATCTCAAAACTGCCTTCAGGATATATCCAGTAGCCTTAACACGCTCACACGTTGCCTGAGACTCAACGCTGGCTCCCTCCCTGGCCTTGTCTCCTGCCACCAGGCCCCTGCCTTGGCCTCTGCCACACCAGCCCTCTCTCAGCCTCTCCGACCCTCCATAGTCAGTCCCTGGAGCTTGGGGCCCAGACTCACGCAGGTCCCATGGACTAAAATGCAACCCTCCCTTCTCCATGCCCACCTGCACCTTCCACTGGCTCACTCTACCCTTCCAACCCACATGCCGCTCTCAGAGGGGCTCTCTGTGACATCGGCCTAGACGAAGTTCACCTACTCCCACGGACCCCACAGCACCTCTCTCTCAGTACACCCACAATTGCAAGCAGAGGCGCTCCAGGACACTCAGGACTCTGGCCATCTTCACTGCCGTGCAGTCCTTGGCTCCAAGCATGGCCTCCGTGAATGGACGGACAGGCTAATAATACTGGGCAGTTATTCCAGCCTCTTGTGCCCACTGTGGACAAGCTTGCATTGTCCTCAGAACCCCTCCGACTATACCCCAACTTGTGGCCACATCTGACGTGGATGGCACCAATCTGCGCTCCCATTCCACATGGGGGGAGGAGACAGCCCGAGCAACTGGTGGAGAGGAGACAATGCTGGACATCCGGGAGAAGAAAGGGACATCCTCTAACTGCACACTCGCACAAACGCAGTCTTAGACATTCAACTCTTCTAAACCCTAGGAAGGAAGAACCACTGGCCCAGTTACAGATGAGGCCACCAGAGCTTTAAAGGCTCAATAACCTTACCCATGTCCCCACAGGAAGGGACACAGATGTGGATGCTGCGTCTTATGCCTTTGCTTGCCCTCACTGGAACACCCG